GTTCGAAGATGTATGATGATGTCGATGTTGATTAGAGGTTGATCAATCCAATATTCGATAATCAATTACGTATACGTACAAATAAACAAACATGGCAGTACAAAATATAAAATTAACATGCAGATTTCTTTATTTCCATATTTACGCGCATAAGGTGTGTCTTATGTCACCCGCAGTGAAAATCGATGTACGGATTTACAAATTTGAAATTTACGAATTTATGCTTTTTTTTTTATACTTTATATATATGCGGATATTGCTTAATTGAAAAAGCCCAGATGATTTATGTAATGGTATGAATAGAAATACAATTTTCTTCATCGACCCCAAAAAATCCACCACCTTTTGCTACACAAGGGCAGCCACATCCCGTTGGACATTCCTCGTATCCCGATGCAAACCATTCTCTTATATGTAGCGTATGCCCTCCGTGTCTGCAACTTATGCAAAAAGTTGTCAATCCTAAATACGTTGAAAAAAAATCCATCAATAATGTAATGACAAATCATCGCATATAATAATCCCGGAAATACCTTTGACAATCTGATGGCATATTGAGCACTTGATGCCAATGCCGGATAGATGTTTGCAGTTCCCGCATTTTGTATTTGGTTTTATCTGTGCTCCGCATCTATAACAATATACGCCGATTTCTAATATAAGAGATAATATAAGAGATAGAGGCAGAAATAAATGATTAAATTAATCTATTGTAATGTGTGTGTACGGTGCATACCTAAAGGTTGCATCATCTCGCCAAGTGGACTTCCCACTGTGGTTTTTACAAAGCTCATGAATTTCAAAACTTCCGCACGTGCTTCGTAAAGACCCCAGTGATACAATAGTCCAGAATAAGCCAAACGGAATTGATCATATAATGCACTTGTTTCCCGATTAATGTCTAATAGTCTAATCGCAAGTGGCCTTTGAAATTGTAGAAAAATAGTGAGTTGATAAAAAAAAAATTTTTTTTTGATAAATGTTCGTGGTACGAATTTCTGTAAATACCAACTTTCTCTCATCATCAAATTCATCAAAATTTGTGGTTATAATGATGTCCGAATTCTTTTCGGGCC